GCCGGCCGAGGGGGGGGGGGGGGGGCGGGTACGACCCCCCCTCGCCGTTTCGCCCCTGGTGGAGCTAGCGCGTCGCGGAAAAAACGAGCGTGTGCGCCGTTACGAGACGCAGAGATTGGTACCCGATTTTAAGGTCCTGGGTCAACCGGTGACCTCTGAGGTCAGGTCAAGTGCCCCAAGGTACGGTTCAGTTTTTTGGTGAATAACTTCGCAAAAAACGGCCGCAGAGCGCCGATTTTGACAGCATCGTGTTCGTCTCGCTCAGGCGCGTCGAATGATATACTTTTTGTCCGGGCCAGGTCAACTTGGGGTGTTGACCTCAGGTTAAGGTCAGGTCAGCACCCCCAGGTCACGAAGTTGGTCGAAAGAGGTCATGTCGCATATCATTCGATTCGGCAGGTCTTCCTGAGTCCATTGGTGGCTTTTCCGACTCGCTAGCTCAATTTGATCAAGAGTTATTGACGAAAAACTAATATGACCTTGATGACGTCATAAATGACGTCACGCAAGGTCAACATTGCAAAAGTGACGCATTTAACCTTGCAAGGAGTGCATAAAATCACGATTCTGTGTGCTTGAGATAGTTGGAGATCGTTCCCGGCGACAGAATAGCAGTTTTCATTTTTCCCCATTGAGTTATAATGGTGAGGTCACGAAAATGACCTGACCTCATATGACCTTTAGGAAAATCCGAGATATACAAGTTGTGGGACTCATAATGGATACTAGATCCTGCAAGTTTCATTTCCCTGTGACATCTCCTCTGGCAGTGAGGGCGTTGCGAAGTTGCGACATCTGAAGACCGTGCAGAGGTTCACCTATGACGTCATAGGTCAGTGACCTGACCTGACCCAAAAATGCGGTTGGTGTCAAAAGATGCGGCTTGGATCAAAGGTCAGGTATGCCAAGTTTCAGCTCTCTATCGCCAGCGTGTTCGGAGCTATCGCGAAAAACCCTATGGGGGGGCGGCACCCGCCCCCCCCCCCGCCCCTCGGCCGGCGAGGGTTAAAGGAAATCAGTCCAAAACTGTGAGTTGGACAGGTGCAAAAAGAAAATTGAAATTCGACCATGACCTTGTACCGGTTTTTCTGACCTGGTGACTTGACCCAAGGTCACCCGGACCTGAAATTTTCAGGTCATATGTGATGTGAAAAGGTTGCCCCATAGGTGCCAAATTTGGCGGCGCTGCGTGCCGCCGTTTTTACGCTATCTTCGAAAAACCTTAGGGGGGGTCGCATCGACCCCCCCCCCGCCAGGGCGAGGGTTAACCCTCGCCCATGTGGGGAGGGGGTTTGGTGCAACCCCCCCTGAGGTTTTTCTTAGCTACACGCCGAACCGTTTCAGATAGCCTGCTCAAATTTTCAGTACCCTTTGGGGCATCCTTTGCGCAACTTTTTGTTTTTGTCAAGGTCATGTCAGGTCACGGAGTTATGACGTCATAAAGGGAACAACCTCCAGCCAGATTTACGCTAAATTTGAGATTGCTTCACATTGGTATAGATGCCGACTGACCTGACACACTGATGGATTGTTTTAGAATCACAACTGGCTGATTTGACATTGGCACAATGTCCGTTGACATTTTGAAGGTTACTAAAGGTCAAGGTAAGGTCAGTGACCTCGATTGACCTATAATGACTTCTTGCACTTGTAGGCCTTTTCGGGGTATTTTGCTGCCCTGAATTCGAACTTGCTATCAATTTCAGGCATCGTCGGATGTTTCTTGTTACGAGCGAGCCACATTGCCCCAACAGACGGTAAATAACTTTTGAAAATACCAATTTCCAATTTTAGTGTTTTCTGGACCAAAATTTTGCGAGGAATCCGATGGTGTGGCCCCCGAAATCTGAAAAATTTCCATTTTGAAGAAGGCCCCTATTTTTTGAAAAATAAATATTCGTCAGGCTTAATAGTCAAATGAATTGGAAATATAATGAGTTAATTTTTGTAACAACACTAGAATGTGTCGAACATGAATCAGAGATATATTTTAGCTGAGATGATACTATATCTGCGCATACGTGTACATGAACTAGTACATTAACCCTCGCCGGCCGAGGGGGGGGGGCGGGTGCCGCCCCCCCATAGGGTTTTTTCGCGATAGCTCCGAACACGCTGGCGATAGAAAGCTGAAACTTGGCATACCTGACCTTTGATCAAAGCCGCATCTTCTGACACCAAACGCATTTTTGGGTCAGGTCAGGTCACTGACCTATGACGTCATAAGTGAACCTCTGCACGGTCTTCATATGTCGCAACTTCGCAACGCCCTCACTGCCAGAGGAGATGTCACAGGGAAATGAAACTTGCAGGATCTAGTATCCATTATGAGTCCCACAACTTGTATATCTCGGATTTTTCCTAAAGGTCATATGAGGTCAGGTCATTTTCGTGACCTCACCATTATAAGTCAATGGGGAAAAATGAAAACTGCTATTCTGGCGCCGGGAACGATCTCCAACTATCTCAAGCACACAGAATCGTGATTTGATGCACTCCTTGCAAGGTTAGATGCGTCACTTTTGCAATGTTGACCTTGCGTGACGTCATTTATGACGTCATCAAGGTCATATTAGTTTTTCGTCAATAACTCTTGATCAAATTGAGCTAGCGAGTCGGGAAAGCCACCAATGGACTCAGGAAGACCTGCCGAATCGAATGATATGCGACATGACCTCTTTCGACCAACTTCGTGACCTGGGGGTGCTGACCTGACCTTGACCTGAGGTCAACACCCCAAGTTGACCTGACCCGGACAAAAAGTATATCATTCGACGCGCCTGAGCAAGACGAACACGATGCTGCCAAAATCGGCGCTCTGTGGCCGTTTTTTGCGAAGTTATTCACCAAAAACTGAACCGTACCTTGGGGCACTTGACCTGACCTCAGAGGTCACCGGTTGACCTAGGACCTTAAAATAGGGTACCAATCTCTGCGTCTCGTAACGGCGCACACGCTCGTTTTTTCCGCGACGCGCTAGCTCCACCAGGGGCGAAACGGCGAGGGGGGGTCGTACCCGCCCCCCCCCCTCGGCCGGCGCGTATGTAGAAAACCAATAGGTCCGGCGAGGGTTAACCCTCGTCGGCCCAGAAGGGGTAGGGCGGGTGCCGCCTAATAGGGCTTTTCGCGATAGCTTAAAACTCGCTTAGGGTAGACAGCTGAAACTTGGCATACCTAATCTTTTATTCAAGTTGGATCTTTTGACCTCAACTGCGTTTTCAGGTCAGGTCAGGTCACTGACCTATGACGTCATAAATGAGCCTCTGCGAGGTCCTCAGATGTTGCAACTTTGCAACGCCCTCAGTGCCAGAGGAACTTTCACAGGAAGATAAAACTTACAGGACGTAGTATCCTTCAGAGGTCTCACAACTTGTATATCTCGGATTTAGCCTAAATGTCACATGAGGTCAGGTCGGTCACGTGACCTCACCATTATAAGTCAATGGGGGAAATACAAAAGCTGTTATTTTGGCGCCGTAATGATCTAAAACTATCCCAAGCACATGAAATCGTGGTTTCATGATCGGACCTTACAAAGAGTATAGTCGGTCAAATATGTATCTTTCCCGGCCGCCAAGTGGCGCTACGGTATGGATTCGATAGTTGGCTGAGCCCACACCCCAGCTGCCCTGGCGGCTCTGGCGGCCCTGTGACGTCACGCGCGGGGGGCGGAGCTACACAGCGGCCGGCTGGAGAGTGACCGCAGACCAGCACTGGACGGCCTCGCCGCCGGGTGCTCCGGCGGGTCTGGCCGGGAGAGGCGAGCAAGCGGATGCGTTAGGAATCTAACGAATGTGAGGGCAGCGCGATGGTCTAATGATGGCTGTGCTTTCATGCGCCGTGTAAATTGTAGACTGAGTGCTATGAGCTATCAAAGGATTATCTGGTGTTTCAACAGGGGTCGCTGACCTAAAAATTAAGATGGTTGCTCTTGATACGATCGAATGCTTGGTGATATGATGATTAGCGCAAGAGAAATATTTAATCGAATTATGACCGGTTATTTTTTGATAAAGCAAAAACTTTTTTCATTTTTTTGGCATTAACGGGAAGGCGTTAAGCCATATCTACTGAAAATCTTAACCTGCGCCGGGCCGGGGGGGGGGGCGATTTGCGCCCCCCCCCCCCAGGTTTTTCGCAGATAGCCGAAAAACGGCGGCGTGCAGCGTCACCAAATTTTGCATACCTGTTTTTCCATCTATTGCGCATACTGTGTGCGAATTTTGACCTTATATGACTTAAGGTCAGGTCAACAGGTCGGTTTGAGTGACCTAACGTCACAAAAAGTTTGAACTTGCACCAAAGCTACAACTGTTGACCGATCGATATGAAACTTTCAGGAGTTAGTAAGGGTGACAATATCCACAAAATGTATGTCTCGGATTTTTTTTTTATCTATGACCTGAGGTCAGGTCAACCTCACAACCTCCCCATTATAAGTCAATGGGATAAATTTCAACTTCATCTGAATGCCACCCGATCCACACAATATATTCAGGATCATGGTGTTGCAGGTCCCTGGTGGTCATTCTACCGAAAGATGTCACCGGTGACCTTTGGAAGGTGTCGCTAGGTCATCCGAGGTCACCTGAGGTCACCAGCGGGGGTTTTCTGCAATAACTTTTGAGTGAATAGAAATAGAGACTCCGTTCGACGTTTATCATGTTTGTCTGATCAATGCGGATCGAATGATATGCAACATGACCTATTTCAGTCAGGTCATGACCTTGACCTTAGGTCAAATTTTCAACTTGACCTTTCGAGGTCACATGATATAGCTTTCGATGCGCTTTGACAAGCTAAGAACGATGACGTTCGAATCGATCCTTTATCTTGTCTGGATCAAAAGCTATTTAAGAAAAAGTATCAGAAGTAAAAACGTTTTTTATCGCTCTTTCGAACGCCGCCTACCGCTTGTCTCTACGACGCTCAGGAGTCGAGTTAGACGGGGGGGGGGGGCGTAAAACCGCCCCCTCCTAAAACCGCCTGTTGTGTTACAGATAGAGCACCGGCCCGGCGCAGATTAAACGTTTTCCTTGATTTTTTTTGTCGTTTCATAATGATATATTTTATAAAATTTTAATATCATTATATCAAAAATAGGTAAATGTATTGACCTCATCAGTCCCTCATCTCCCTACTCCCTACCCTCATCACTCAACTGAATAATTCTCCCCTTTTCAAAAACGGTGCAGTGATACGGCATCTCAAACCTAGAGCGACTACACTCAAGTTCAAGCTAACGGTCTCCACTCTCCAATTCAGATACCTATCGAAACCTTTCCGCGACCCGGTGCTGTGGCTCAATCAGTGGGCCAGCTGGCCGCAGAGCATACCCGCAGGGCATGAACCTTTGACCATATTAGGTCAACACGCCGTGGCCCCAGCCCGCTCGCCAGGTCCGCGCTCATTGGCCGACGCGGCAACCGTACAACCTGTCTCCTCCCCTCCGTAGTACTCGCAGCGGCCGGCGGATTCAGCCAAGTTACCGACCTGCCCAGCGTGGGGAGGGCCGGCCGGGAAAGATACATATTTGACCGACTATACATGAAACCACGATTTCATGTGCTTGGGACAGTTTTAGATCATTTCCGGCGCCAAAATAACAGTTTTCATATCTCCCCCCCCCATTGACTTATAATGGTGAGGTCACGTGACCGACCTGACCTCATGTGACATTTAGGTTAAATCCGAGATATACAAGTTGTGAGACCTCTGAAGGATACTAAGTCCTGTAAGTTTCATCTTCCTGTGAAAGTTCCTCTGGCACTGAGGGCGTTGCAAAGTTGCAACATCTGAGGACCTCGCAGAGGCTCATTTATGACGTCATAGGTCAGTGACCTGACCTGACCTGAAAACGCAGTTGAGGTCAAAAGATCCAGCTTGAATAAAAGATTAGGTATGCCAAGTTTCAGCTGTCTACCCTAAGCGAGTTTTAACCCTCGCCCGCACATGCCATTTTCCCATCCTAGAACGCACATGGGGGGGTCAAGGCCCTAAAACATAAGGTTGGACGAAGTTTTCTACCAAAAATGTACTAGAATAGCGCACGAGTCAAAGCTATTTCCGTTGTTTCTTTACAAATATGTCGCAAACAAGCTTTTTCTGTAATAAATCATTATTTCGAAGTTAAGCAACCAGTTGCTATAAATTCGATAAGCAAACACTTATTTTTTATATAAAAGCCTAGCTGATATAGTCCAACTCTAGTTGAATAATCAAGTAGCTACTAATTTTTCCAGATGTGACACATATTGCGCACTTCAGACAAATGCGTTGCTAGGGCGTTGCTAAGGACTCTTTCGCATGTTTGGCTGGTTTTTGTTATGAAGTGAGGGACGTGAGATGGACACTGGACAGGCTTTTTGATTTTTTTTTCTGGTTTTCTAGGACCGTGTGAATTATTTAACTTGACATACTTTTCTTGCTTTTTATTCGAGGCTTTTTCAATAACTGGTAGAATCTAGCGTGAAAATAAAAGGGCGAGTAGGCCACAGGGATAAATGCAAGTCGACTGATAGTGAAAGAAAAGGTAGAGGTGTCTGTTCCATTAGAAATTTAATGTGATTGATTGAACATGAAGCAACAGGATCAGACGCAAGAACCACCAATTAAGAACCCAGAACCAGCAGGCGCCATGCAATCAAGAGCAGCCGTGGTAACGTTTGATTAGCTTTCAGAAAACCTCATGGAAGACGCCAGACGGAGAGCAATCAAGAGATCTTACAAGACCAGTAGTTACTTGAAAACGAGAGCCGCCAGGAAAATCAGTAGATTCTTCAACGGCAACACATTTCAACATCTATCTAGCAATGATTTGCGCCAGCGAGGTGCTATCATTGTATTTTGTGTCTGCATCCCTAATTGCTCAAAAAGTATTTGTCAATAAATAATAAAAAAACAAATAATGCGTCTTTTTTCTACTGAAAGTAAGTCCACCAAGTGGCAGGGGATGAATAATAGAAGGTACCTACCTAATTTAGTAATTAATTGTCATCTATTCATTTAATTCATAGGCAATTCAGGGCATCGATCGACAGCGCCCTTTGCATGGTACTGCGGATCGTCGATGGGTTTCTTGATGACTCCGACTCTGACTCAGACTCAAAAATCAACTCTGACTTTGATGTCAAATGTCGGCTCTGACCGCGGACTCCGACTTCACAGCCCTAGCATGTCTGCGGAGGCGACTGGCGATGTATTTTTGGTGACTCCGACTCCGACTCTGACTTTCAAAATCGACTCTGACACTGACTCTGGTCAGAACTGTCGACTCCGACCGACTACAACTCCGACTACGGAACCCTGAAAGGTCTGCGCGGAGGGGATCGAATTTCGGTGACTGACTCAGACTCCAGCTTTTAAAATCGACTCTGACTCCGACTCGACGACTCAGGTCAGAACTGTCAACTCTGACCGACTTCATGACTCCGACTCCGGAGTCCTACTGGCAGCTATCACGCCGGGAGCTGCAAATCGTATGTTCCGCGGCGGTTTATGGCATTAAAGTCGATAATGCGGCTGAACCGCACTATGAAACACCCTTATTGGCTGCAAAAACCACGAAAGTTAGCGCATCACCACTGGAAAACGTGACAGGTTATCGATTAATTGGCCCTGGATTTGGATAAATAACATGTTGATGATCATATTAGCACACATTTACATTACCATCTATCTCAAGGTTGCCCTTCAGGCGGCTCTAAACTATGGCAATTTCCCTATCTTCAACATGTAAATGCCCTCGGGCGTCCTCGTGGTGACGTAGGCATGGGAGTGCCAGGTTGGTAGGAACTAGACTTCGACGCCCCCTGGGGGGGTGGTTGCCACCCCCCGGCCCCCCTCGTGCCATTTCGTTCCTGTTGGAGATAGAGCTTAGCGGTAAAGACCAAAAAGATTCTTTGGGAAGAGACGAATCCAATGATACCCAGTTTTACCTTCTCAGGTCAGTCATTGACCTTCCAGGTCAGGTCAAACTAAAAAATGTTGCTGTTTTGGGTCACCGTTGGATATCAAGTGCGCTGCTTATCAAATACCGATGACGATGCTGTTTTCTGGTGCCAAGCCAGCTAGAACCTCTTTGTCACACTACCCGACCAGAATTTTGCTGCTGAGGTCATTTCAGGTCAAGTTAGGTCAAGGTCAATTATCCCTCGCCGGCCGAGGGGGGGGGGGGCGGGTGCCGCCCCCCCATAGGGTTTTTTCGCGATAGCTCCGAACACGCTGGCGATAGAGAGCTGAAACTTGGCATACCTGACCTTTGATCCAAGCCGCATCTTTTGACACCAACCGCATTTTTGGGTCAGGTCAGGTCACTGACCTATGACGTCATAAGTGAACCTCTGCACGGTCTTCAGATGTCGCAACTTCGCAACGCCCTCACTGCCAGAGGAGATGTCACAGGGAAATGAAACTTGCAGGATCTAGTATCCATTATGAGTCCCACAACTTGTATATCTCGGATTTTTCCTAAAGGTCATATGAGGTCAGGTCATTTTCGTGACCTCACTATTATAAGTCAATGGGGAAAAATGAAAACTGCTATTCTGGCGCCGGGAACGATCTCCAACTATCTCAAGCACACAGAATCGTGATTTTATGCACTCCTTGCAAGGTTAGATGCGTCACTTTTGCAATGTTGACCTTGCGTGACGTCATTTATGACGTCATCAAGGTCATATTAGTTTTTCGTCAATAACTATTGATCAAATTGAGCTAGCGAGTCGGAAAAGCCACCAATGGACTCAGGAAGACCTGCCGAATCGAATGATATGCGACATGACCTCTTTCGACCAACTTCGTGACCTGGGGGTGCTGACCTGACCTTGACCTGAGGTCAACACCCCAAGTTGACCTGACCCGGACAAAAAGTATACCATTCGACGCGCCTGAGCGAGACAAACACGATGCTGCCAAAATCGGCGCTCTGCGGCCGTTTTTTGCGAAGTTATTCACCAAAAACTGAACCGTACCTTGGGGCACTTGACCTGACCTCAGAGGTCACCGGTTGACCTAGGACCTTAAAATCGGGTACCAATCTCTGCGTCTCGTAACGGCGCACACGCTCGTTTTTTCCGCGACGCGCTAGCTCCACCAGGGGCGAAACGGCGAGGGGGGGGTCGTACCCGCCCCCCCCCCCTCGGCCGGCGCGTATGTAGAAAACCAATAGGTCCGGCGAAGGTTATATGTGTTTGCATGTCTGTGTGTGTCTGTGTGTATACTGATTACTGATGTGTGCACCGATTGTTTTTGGGTCCATATTACATGAAATCATGATCTGAGAAGCTTTTACCAAAAATGCAGTCAAAACACTTCACAAAAAGTAAATTCAGCTTGCCTAAAACGCAATTATCTTAGATGACCTAGGTTGACCTTGACCCTGACCTTGACCCCTGTACATCGTCGAACAACATGTTCCATGATAGGTGGGAGGTAAGACTGGCAAAAAAGGCCGAAATCAGGGTGTCAAAAGCTCACAAGGCCCATGGCAGGCGCAAGATGTTGAGAATTGGCCATTTGGGTCATGTCATGACCTGAAAAACAAGGTCATATCTCCGAAACCAAAAATCACAGAAACTTGACATTTTCAGTGGACCTCAAGAAAGGATAGAAGAGCAGCTATACGAAAAATCAGCCATCTAGCTCTAAAAATGTTGAGTGCAGAGCAGAAAGACTACCTGGGGGGTGGCAACCACCCCCCCCCCATGTGCGGGCGAGGGTTAAGCTATCGCGAAAAGCGCTATTAGGCGGCACCCGCCCCACCCCTTCTCGGCCGGCGAGGTTTAATGTACTAGTTCATGTACATGTATGCGCAGATATAGTATCATCTCAGCTAAAATATATCTCTAATACATGTTCGACACATTCTAGTGTTGTTACAAAAATTAACTCATTATATTTCCAATTTATTTGACTATATGACGAATATTTATTTTTCAAAAAATAGGTGCTATCTCCAAAATGGAAATTTTTCAGATTTCGGGGACCACACCATCGGATTCCTCGCAAAATTTTGGTCCAGAAAACA